CAAGTGGATGTCGGGTGTCATCGCCGCCGATCGTCGCCAGGGTGACGACGACGACAGCCGCTCGAGGACGACGACAGCAAAGGAGCAGAGACGGCGTGCAGCGACGACGGACTTGGTGCACGCATTGTTACCGTACGCTGTGGCTGTTTGGTGGTGACCGTCTTCGCCCTTGCCTTCGTCCTCGCTTTCGCTCTCGCCCTCGCCCTCACCCTCGTCGTCGTAGCTGAAGTCGAAGTCAGCTAGTCGGGGAGGTGCTGCCGTCAGTGGAGGAGGTTTCGGTCGAAGAGTGCGTCCTCGTCGTCGTCGTCGTCGTCGTAGTCATCGAGAGGCAACGAGCAACGTCGTCGCAGGTCTCCTAGGCTGTGTGTCCGTGCGCGTTGTTTACTCCTGGTAAAAAGTGACTATTCCGGATAATTACGTGGCAACCGCCGTCAGTCCGCGACAGAGTTTTGACAAGTTTTTGTGAGGGCAGCGGCGCTTTTTCCCGGCATCGTCCTCGTGCACGCTTCTTGGTCACCTACCGACCGACCGACCGACGACGGCGATGTAGAGCATGCCGCCATTCCGACATCTGAGGCTGTGCTGTTCGTTGTGGCCGGCTTGTCGGCTGTTGCTACCTTTGCTGTGCTGTCTGACGATGGCGGTGGCCGTGGTCGACGGCGCCTATTTCAGCATGTTCGGCCAGCAGAAGCCGCCCAGCAGGGACCCGTGCTACAACGTCCGCCACGAGCCGCTCCGCTGTGTGCCGGACTTCGTCAACGCCGCTTTCGGCAAGCCGGTGGTCGCGTCCAGCACCTGTGGCCAGGAGCGCCCTACCCGATATTGCCCGACCCGCGAACATTACGAGGGCCCGCCCAGGGTGCCGACCGTCGACGAGTGCCACACGTGCGGCGGCGACGCCGGTCAACACCCCGCCTCGCTGCTCACCGACCACAACAACCCTCAGGACGTCACGTGCTGGGTGTCTGAGCCAAGCACCGACTACCCGAGCAACGTGACGCTCACCTTGTCGTTGGGCAAGAAGTACGAGGTCACTTACGTCAGCATGCAGTTCTGTCACCGACGGCCGGACTCGATGGCCATCTACAAGAGCATGGACTACGGCCGGACGTGGATCCCGTTCCAGTTCTACTCTAGTCAGTGCAAGAAGTTGTACGGCAAGCTGCCGAACGTGCAGATCTCCCGCCACAACGAACAGGAAGCCCTGTGCACCGACGCCCACAGCGCCGCCCCTCTTCGGGGCGACCGCATCGCGTTCGCTACACTCGAGGGCCGACCCTCAGCGTTCGACTTCGAGAAGAGCCCCGTGCTTCAGGTAACACCATCGTCGTTTCGAGGTCTAACAGTGATCAATTGTTCGTCATCTGTCTGCCATTCCGTGCGAACGTCATTCGTAGTTGTCGTCGTACATGTTTGCCGTTCGTACAGGCACGCCCGTCTGATTAACGCACAGAAATTGTCTCTCCTTTCATCGTGTTCTGTTGACTCGATGTATACACCCTCTGTGTTGACCTTTCGCAGAAACCAGATTCCGCCTTTTACCCAAACCACTTAACTTCACACATGTGGGACCCCGCTCTTAAAAGAATCCTACGCGTGTTTTCCGTACGCGACCGAAACCGAGCCTGTCGTTTAAAGTTGACTCGTTCACCTCGCTTCCCTCTGAGGTAGACAATTCCGTACTCATAAACCTCATTGGAACGAAACATGAGGCTATGTTTTATGGTTGTCACCAAAAGAAGGGCGCCACAAATGGTGGTCAGTCGTGAACGGGCCAGCGGTTAAAGACTTTCGTTTTTGATCGCTTCGCTTTTTTATGCTATATTCTATAACCGTCCAATCAGATCACAATCTCTCTCCATTTGCCTGCTGACTAGCAACTGTAAAAGCGCCACTTTAAAACTCAGGCCCTCACCCATAGGACCTAAACTTCCTCATCGATGCCTCATCACAGTGCGTCGTACATGTAGGAAATGTGTCCAAAGGATTTATCCGGTGAGAACCCGTGTCAGAGACCAGGACAACTGACCGTTTTGGCAACGGCCTCAAGGTCCATTACAGCGAGTAGTATTTCTGCACTTTTATATACGTAAACGAAAGTTTTTGATATTCAACTCAAGTTACAGTTCTGCATAGTTCCTCCTGCAGTTAGATTTAAGAACACATAAAAGTTAGGCCCTAAGTGTCACTAAGAAGAAACATCCCCGCAGCATAACAGCTATATACAAGGTCTCACCAGCATTCGTTTCCTCCATTTGCCTTATTGGTCTGTTGTTGCTCCTAAAGGAAGAATGATACATAAGGCCAAGATGAGGTCGATTCAACGGCATGGGAAAATACAACAGTCCAGTTGTCTCGATGTTTCACATCCATTAAAGTCTTCAACGTTTCTGCCCAATTCGCTTTATTTATTGTTGCAGACAAAATGACAAAAGGAATATGAATGCAAAAATACGAAGACAAGTATGCACATGGCTAGTTTGTACATTTTCGGAATCTCAGAGTCTTATGAAGAAGGCATCAGAAGAGATTCTACCCCGACGACTAGACTGACAGGGTGCCTGCAGTCTACGGTATAATTCAGTCCTTATTGAAATGAGCAGGCAATGAATTCGAGTGCCGCTTCGCGCAATGACATGGTTCTCGACTAAGTACAGGAAGAATGCAGGGCGCCGTAGGTAATCAGTGGGACAATCCACTCATAAGCATGAGTTTACATAAGTTCACGCTTTGGTTCGGTGCGGTTGGAGTTTGGATGCGCTTGGGTCAGCCGTCTGTTGCATAACTAGTTTATGAATGAGGTTTCTATGCGCGCCGGAACCGGAAGTTTAGTGAATATCGTTCACACCATACAGGCATGCCCAGAACTGCACCTCAGATCCTCAGATCAGTTATGTCTTCGGCTCCAGGACCCTCAGACAGCTGGAAAACAGACAGAAGTGATCGCGCAAAGCCTCACGTCACGATGCTCAGAGCGACTGAGATTTTTTTCTTTTATATGTAATTTGTCCAACGTTGCCGTTTAACTCATTGACATGGAAGTGCCATTTATCAGATGAACTTCTTTTTCTCTTCTTCTTCTTCATGGCACTCAGCGAAGTCGGTTCAAACCGCGGAACCTTTGAATATTCGCGCCCACCATTCTGAAATGGCTGGTCCAGAATAAGTTGGGTATCGTCCAAAAAAGTCCCTTTTAGCTCGACCGAAGGCGGTAGACTGTTTTGCCGATTTCGTCTCAACACACCTTAGCTTTCCATTTGACCAAGTTTGCACTGCCAACAATCCGCCTTCGTTTAATATACAAGAGTTAGTATTAATAAAACGTCTAGAAACTTAGTTCTTTTTGATCAGATAGTACACAAGCGTGAATATATGGTTTATTGTGTTAGTATATAAGGTATTGATTCCTGACCATTGCTATGTTCATCGTTAAAGTTAAAGAAGCTGCAGCGGAAATCAAGAATTCAGAATTCTGAAAATTCACAAGCAGGCTTTACTGACTTCAATGGAAAGCACGTCAAGACTTCCTTCAGCAGTTCTGTAGCATCGCGATTTACTTTCGATCGTAAGATAGGACGTAATTTTTATTCACTCCTGCCTCGAACTTATGCAAGATACCAAAAGACCTATTTAACATCATATGTTCCCATTGATACTTCATTTGCATTCGCGGAATCTGTATCTACCGTTACCGTTTGACCGACCTGTCCATCTTTTGGACGCCTCACAAACGAAAATCGACGTTCTTCCAATTTTCTCTTTTCTTGAACATTTTTTGTAAATGATTGTTCTGCAGTCTATTCGAGGTGCCAACCCTCGTGAACTACTTCAGACAATTTTTCAGTCGTCATTCAGTCCAACTGATTCAGTAAAGCGCAGCGTTTCTTGAGGTTTTGCTGACGGACAGATATCTTTGACTAGTGGCGCACAGCACCGCTCTCAAACTACCTCAGTGACCTACTGCATCACTTCCAGACCTTCGGTTTGTCCAATGTCTATTAGATTACGTTAAAACCAGAAAGTTGAGATCTAATGGTCTTTGTTTTCGCAACCTGCCACACCGTGCATTGCATATGTCAAGGCAAACGCGAGGTTCATAAATTCGTGTAACCTTTACCCTAAGGTTCAAACTATCACAGGCTGCGCCAAGCGAGGCTCTAAATTGTAGTGAGTAACAAAATTGATGCAACAAAAGGACCCCAATTGTTCGCAAACGGCGTGAACTCAGTCCTCGCTGTTGACTTTCTGTCTAAAGTGGGAAATCAGTTTGTGTTTATCATAACTTTTATCACTTGGCATCGCCTCCGTGAATTCATCGTTCCACTTTGCATTCGTGAAATCTTTGATGTTACTACAGAATCTTTTGTGTCAACAGTTTCACGCGTGGTTTACTTCGAACTCCTGGACGTCAGCAAGCGACAGGTGAAAGGCGAAGTCCTCCAAAGGGTTCACAGACCTCTCTTCATTTCTGTGTACACTCGTCTTTCATGAGCATTAGTCGACGCGTGTTCTATTTCTAGAAGACTGTTCTTCGACAGTAGCTTAACTAAGCTTCTTTAAGTACCCCATTTTTGCTCTTTCTTTGATACCTCATGCGACGGTGGTGTTTCTGGTTCATACTGTCATAGCCGTTTAAGTATCCACTTAAAAAATGCTAATATATTTGTAAATGACTTTTCAGATAGATCAATATGTAGAACGCTGGATGGATCACATTTGAATCCGTCATAGTTTTAAAGCATGTGAAGAACAATTTGTCCTTCGTCCCTCAGAGGTAAACGAGTGAGTGTCATTGTAATAGAAGAAAGTAGGAAACTGCACGCCGTAGCAACCATCAAGCTGTAAACATTGCCTAGAAAGCACTGGTGGTGTCCGGATCGATGTCAACATTGCTCCATAATGTACCTAGAGACACTTTTGCATGTAATGATAGTGTACAGGAAACCAGCACCCGCATATTTACAACTTTAATTCCCAAAACATTCGCTGATTTGCTTTACGCTCAAGAGTAGAGGCGCATTCTTTTGTACCAGTCGAGCACTGAAATCCAACAGCTTCACAAATTCACAGCTAAATACGAAATTCCCACTGAGCTAGTGAGGCGTAAATGTCTGTCACATTGATCCCCTTTGGATGAGGGAAATAAATTTTTGATAATGGGCCTAATCGACTGCTTATTTAGAATTTAGCAGGGCATGAATTTGTAGGACTATCTAACAGCCGTTGTTTCCTGCCTTCCTACCTTATAACTCGAATGTGAATGTCCTGAAACGAGCGAGGTTAAACAACGTTGCTGTTTTACAAATTCCATTTGATGTAGAGTATTTCCTTCATATTCACTGACAGTGGTATGAGGATGCATTTTTTTTCTTCCAATGTGTTGTCTAATTGATGTCGATATGAATGGCTTTCTTTTCACATTACTGCTCATGCCTGTGGCAGGAATGTCGTTGTACGAGGCCCATGCTTGAGCAGCAACAGGGGCTGTCCGTCACTTTGTTACCATCGTTCAGATAGTTAATCGTGTAGAGTTGACAGTAAGTCTTCAAGTCTGATTATCAAGATAATGGTAACCCCTGATGTTAATAAAGAACTCGTCTAAAATGGCGACACAAATGCGGGCAGCAGAGTTTAAAGAGCTTTTAAGAAAGCATGATAAACTAAAAGGAGTCTTCTAAGGAGACCATTTAAGGAGACGTTCATTTTCAGACTCATTGCATCAAAAGAAATTACAGAAACAACTCTATCGCTTAGCCTCACTTCAGGTCTTAAGAACTACAAGGTTCACTACCGTGTTCACTATCACCTGATCAGTAAGCTGTTCAGGGTCAATGGGAAGTCTTCACTGCTGATGTTGCTGGTCTGAACACGGCATTTTTTATCTAGCTTCTTCATACCTCGATCGTTGCCATAGATTAAATGAGAAGTTTTCATAAGTTATATTTTTGTAATTACCATAAAAAAGATCCACATCCCGAAACATGACCTTATGTTTCATAGGACTTCGGATGGACCAGGGTCATTTTTGTTATCGGTGTTCACGAGTCCTCCGGATTGGCACCCTTCCAGTTCAACGTATACAGCCATACTGGTTGGCAGGGACAATGTTTGCTTAAGGTCATTCATTCGTCATATGTCCATCAGGTACAGGTAAGGTCAGACGAAGTGTTTTTGCCTTGGCCTGCCGAAAACAAAAGGTCGGTTAATGCCTTTCAAGCAACTCGCAATCTCCATCTCTCTGGCACCCATCCACCATGCTTTAAAGTTGACCGCAGTGGTGCCCGTCATAACAGCTTGAATAACAGGATACCTGTCAAACAAGCAAACAGTTGAATTGGGTCGTCGACGTCGAAAGCACCGCCTTCTCGCAGATCGCACCCAGCTACCTTTCGTTATTCGGTAAAGTAAACAAGGCCAGGACTTCGAACGAGAATTCGCCACAATGCAAGCATGGTCGATACTTATACAAAGATACATTGTTTCCACCTGAAGCTTGTGTTTGCCGTGAAATATGCAAGGTCATGCCTCAGTGAAGTTACGAGGCTATTTCTTGGATTATCGATGATGATATCCGGATTTAAATATTAATCACGTGTTTACGTCAATGGAGACGGTTCCCTTTAGGTGCTTAATTCCATAATGTCATTGCGCTGCTTTTAAATTAAAAGTAAAAGTTTCATAAAAATGAACTCCAAAAAGACACAGTGATGGTCATGGCAAATTTTTTTACGGTTAAAAAATCTCTTCAAATTTTTATTAACGATTAAGCTTTCGAGTGCTTGCTGTGACCATGGCTTTGAGCGGTTTTCATATGGAGAACGTCAAGTCTAAACTCTGATAAGGACGAGCGAAAATCAGAGTTACACCTTGTGCTGATTATCACACTGGAGAGTCAGCTATCAGGGGTTGTCAAGGCGTGATGCCAGGGACATTTTCATCTGACTGCACGGCCGTACACCTCGTCCATTCTGGTGCGATCAGACTAGAAAACCGTACCGTCGCCATTACTCGCAGATCAACGGGTGCCAGCCATTTCTCAGCTGGTTTCATCAAAGCAACATGGGGTAAATTCCTTCCTCATGGAAATTCATGGTTAGGACAAAGACTGCCCCTTCGGCTGCAATGCAGCCGATCTCTTTTGCATATGTCACTACATCCCAGATATCCACTGCACTCTCAGATTTTCGACGCTTTTGCTATAGGGCATCGGTTAGTTTATCCTAGAATGAATAATTCTCTTCTGAACGTATATATGCCTCTATGGTGTTCATGTCTGTCGATGCTAACGTCCTGGGAGCTGTCTGACGTGTTCACATAAGAAAAGCTCGTTCGCTTGTAAAAATGGTTTAGCTTTCACGTTCGTCCAACTTATTCTCGTTATGAGTTTGCCTCAAACACAAGTCTACGGTCCTCTAATCTTCTCGATTCTGAGCGCTTTCCCGTGACTAGATATGTTTCCATTTATTTGGTGTGCTAACCCTGGTGAACCATTACCAATCTCTCTTTATCCTTCATTTTGCCCAACGATTGGAAAGAAGTGAGATTCCTCGTGAGGCTTTGGTGACTGTCACACAATGGCGATCAAGTCCACACCCTCAACTCACCAAAGCGGCTCCCGCGCCATTTCCTGGCCCTGGCTTCAGCAAGACAAAGGATTTATGATTAGCGAATATGTTTAATAGACTTCCACCGTCATTTTTGTGCTAAGGGAATTAGTGTTGCAGAAGCGAGTATTCGACTCCTCTTCGTCAGCTTCTTCACTTCGTTTTATTCTGACTCTTCTGGTTTTTTGCTTTATTTTTGAGTCTTCTTCACAATTTTCTTTTTAATATGATTATTTGCCTTCTTTATTTTCATTTTCTGTTTCTTCGTTCCCTACCTTTTCCCCTTTTCTTTTTGTACAGTTCTTGTTCTTTTCCTCCTTCTTTCACTTCACTTTCTTCTTTTTCTTCTCTCCTCACATTTCCTCATCATCACATCATTCCTTCAGCTCTCTTCTTTGCTCCTGCTTCTGCTTGATCACGTCGTTTGCTCGTTATAGGATTGGGTGACGGTCACCGACATCCGGGTGGTGTTCAATCGGCTGAGCGTCGACCAGGCGGACTTGTACGGCATCGGCAACGAAACGATCAGTGAGCGCGTCCGGGAACAGTACTTCTACAGTATGGCTGATCTGGCAGTCGGTGGACGGTGCAAGTGCAACGGACACGCCAGTCGGTGCATCCGCGACAAAACCGGTAACGCCGTGTGCGACTGTAAGCACGGCACGGCCGGCTCGGAGTGTGAGAAGTGCAAAACCTTCCACTACGACAGACCGTGGGGACGGGCGACGGCCGACGACGCCCACGAGTGTGTCCGTGAGTGTTATTTTCCTCTGTAACAGATTCGATTTTTGCGCAAGTACTTTCGAAGTAGCTCTGCTACGCCGGCTAATACTTTTTTGCGTTTTGCGTTTGTTCAGTGATCCGGGCATTTCCCACAGATGGCAATCCACAAACGCATTTTTTGATTTGTTGACGTAGCAGAGGGCGAAATAGTATTAGAGAATCAGACCTTACATCTCGAGGAATGAACCACCTCCCGTGAGGTACCTTGATAATTTAGGCTGCCGTCGCAGACCTCATTTAATCACAAAAAAATACGTATCTAATGTCCATCGATATATCACTGACCCATTGCTCCTTTTGCCTCTCATCTGTTTCTCATATACCTCTGTGTTTTGCGGTGAGCTTGGGGTCTCGTCTCGTCGCGCCTTATGTCATCATTTGAGATCATACGCTTCGCAATCGCTACCGGCTTCAGGAAGTGACCCTGCAATCCATTTTTTTAGTAGCGAGAGAGGGAGACCGCGTTGAGGGCGAGGTCCGGGTGCCTTTCGCAATCGACGATAGGGCAAGCGACGGTGACCACCCGTCCCGCCAATGATCAAACAGGAACCAGTTTCCCGCTTGGACGAAATTGGCCTGGCAACCGGGAGCGCCAAGAATTTTTACGTTTAATGCATTTGCAAACAAAACACGATTTTCGCTGTTGACCATTCAGCTGGTTAATTTGCTAAAATGCAGTTTTGATCTTGAATGGAGGTGTTCACTCTCTCTACATCTACCAAGCATGTTCAGAATGATTCAGGAGATGCAGTTCTTCTTCCCATTAACGAACCTTCATTGAACAAGGCATGTGAGACGAAGATCTGTTAATTAAAATAGTGATGGCTCAATCTGCTGGAATACTGTAAGTTTAAATACAGACCCTCATCTTTCCCTGTCAATGCTTTGATGGAGGCAAATAAGTTCTGATGGTCGCATTTTGCATGGGAAGAACGTGAAGTACTATGTGCTATCCTTGCAACTGAGCTAAGAGTATTGCTTTCATACAAAAGGCACTTGGACAGATCATGGAATCGTAGCGAAGATCAATACTTTCACTCTACCAAAGCATCCAGAAATTTTACCCAGCTTGGATGTGTAAATAAAATCCAGGTCTTAACGGCGGCTCTCAAATTTATTAAAATATCTCGATGTCATTTTTCTCAGGGCTTTTTCTGTTCTCACGGGTAGTACAATGGTGTACGTAGCAACACAATGGCACAATTGTTGTTGATCCCTGCTTCACGATTTTAGCCGTAATGTGAGGACGTCTAGGGGACAGCTCGATTGCTTTTGTGGACTATTATGTCAAGAGATCTGTGTTTGCGACACGTGATGTTTTTCGTCTGACCGATGACGCTTGTTGTGCATTTCCTCGTGACTTATTTGGCAGTGAGAAATTCTGTCATTTCTTTCTCTCCCTCCTTCTCTCCCGCTCTCTGACCAGCTGAAGTAGGAATGAGTAACTTTATGAGTTTGATAACTCAGTGTCATGGGGAAAAGTAACTTTACCAGTCTTAGCCCATATTTGAGAAGAACTAGATCAGTGGACAGCGAGAGGGTCGTTTCGATTGCTAAGCATGAAAGAGAACTCTGCTTCTTAAAAAAAAACATGGCAAATCACTCCTTACTCATTTTCTCACGATGACAGTTGTGAGTAACCGAGGTTAATGATAATATTAATGGCTGAAATCGCCAAAAGCAAGAGGATTTCTAATTGGATTTGCGTACGGCACGCGGAACATTCAAGATGTCCTGACGTATATGCACATTAAATACTCATAAGCAAGAAAAAGTGCTGAACTGGACTTGGTCAAAGGACGCGAAAGGTAGCAGAGTACCTACTATTAGTAGTAAAACGTAAGCAATCTGGCATCCAGGTGCATGAAAGTTGGCAGAGGCAAGCGAGGATACAAGATATTCTCTCACATCACCTCCTTATAAGTGGATACATAGAGCAGGATTGTTAATCGTGGCACAAGGGACCTTATTCTCGACTTTTGACCGGGTCTACCTCAGCACAAACTGCCATTTAAGTGTGCCCTATCTGCTGTCATGGTGGTAAGAACACGATGACAAACTATATCGTGAGAACATATGCCCCAACCTTCTCTACTAAATGGGTTTCTAGGCATGCGTCTGTTTCCTGAATAAATTTTTCGTGAATCTACAAGAGATCTTCAATCCCCTAGATAGCATTATTTATCTCGTTGGCCGATATTTTTCTAGTTCTGGTCGATCTTCTTGATTACCATAACCGACTATGGCTTTAATTTATATCCTTTGTCTTCTTTTGATACTGAAAGTAGTAAATTCATATTCACTATTGAAGTGGGTCTAAGGATACGGTATTTATCACTATGATTTCTGTATACGGTAGTGGAAAAGACAACTATTCACTTCTGCGTTATGAACGCTGCGGGACATCACTAAATACGTACACGTCTCAACTGCAGCGCTTCTATTTTTTAACATACAATTATCTTCATCTTCATCTTCATCTTCCATCGCCGCTTCTCCTTTCGGGTCGCGGAGGCAGACGCGTCAG